CAGCAATAGCGATGGTAATAGAGCGGCAAGCTCCTGAGTCACGGTCATGTGTTGGAACTACAAGACCATTTCTCCTCCTCGTATGTAACTTCAGTAAATATAGACCCAGCCGAACTTCTTCCCTACGTCAAGAGAGGATTCAAGAAACGTCGACGGTGCTTAACCCCTTCCCATGCCAAACCCAACCGTGCTGCCAAAGGCAGAAAGCTCAGCAAGCGACACCTTTCTGCCTGAGGATTTAAGAGTTTTGTTCCAAAAAAAAATTTCCACCGGCTGCGGGAGGGAGAGAGCTGCGTGACTCAGCTTTTTCTCAACCTGATGTGTGTACTTTGCCTGTTTATTCCCAGTACAGTCAGTACCCAGGGAGTCATGTTACGCAGCAGGCTCAGTGTTTATTAACTAGCTCGGGAACTGATCTAAGAATAACTTCTTTCATTTGTTTTGTTGGAGGTGATTATTTTATTCATTTTTTTGTTTAGCACAGTCAGCAGCCCAAGGTGGAAACTGCACCGAAAACGGATAGAAAGGGTTTTACCCAGCAAGTTGTGGGAATACATAAACACACAACTATTACCGCCTTCCCCCCATGAATAGCCACATCTGACATATAAAATCACGAAGATGAAAGCTTTAAGGGAAGCAAATTGCTCTGCCTTGAAAGTGGAGCAGCTCAGCAGCCGTCTGTTCTGTCCAGCTTGGGGTGCTGCAATTATTTGAACTTCAGGGGTTTCGATGCCAGCGTTCAGATGCTTCTGAACCAAAATTTTGATACAGAGTGATATTTGCTTCCCTGCCTTCCCCTCCATGGTAGGTTTATTTAGGGGATTTTTGAAGCGTTTCCTCGCTGACCTCTTCATTTGCTCACCTCATCCTCAGCATTTCAGCCATGGTGTGTGAAAGCCACATATTTCCAGCATGACTGCATGTGATTATATTACTTTGTGTACCTATTTAGATGCTTAGCACAGAAAAAAGTCCTTTTGACAGATGAATAGCTGTGATACTTTTTATCAGCTGACTTGTCTGAAAAACAACGGAGTGCTGGGATTTATTCTGTCAGATGTTTTGATAGTTTATTTAGGCTATCTCGTACTTACAGGTGAACTTAGTACCTGCAGCAATTTATAAAGCACTTCCCCCCCGCCCTGTTATGGTTTTAACACAAACACCAGTTAAGGCACACCTCCAACTGGTTTGAAGCCTGCAGAGCAGAAGCATTTGTTGTTGTGTAATAGTTGTGAAACGTGTTTATTTAGGTGATGTTGTCTTCAGGGGGATTTGCATCGCACTCTTT